AGTGGATAAAATAACGCTGCGTTGGTCTGATTGAATGCGTGCTCCTACAGCTGACGAATGATAACGGTGCTGTGGACTGGTATTTCGCTCAGCTTAGGCTTTCCTGTTCGATCAATTCATGTAGATACTAGCTAGTCCACAGCTCCCAATATTCGGAAAAGGAGAGGTGGGGAAACAAGCAAACAGCTGCGATGCGGGTCGTTCATAAAACCCTCATCCGCTGCTGGAATGAGTGGATAAGACGTGAGAGTGATGTTTATGCCTGTGGAGTTGTGGATCCTGTGAATTGGGCATCGCGATTCGTAGAGCTTGAGGAGCCTTCTGGGAGGTCAAGAAGATAAAGTTACTTAAAGATATCAAGGTGGAATTCCTTCCAATGAATTGCTAAATGGTGCGCATCTGTATAAGACAGAACGAAAGCTAGGTGTAGGGGGTTCTTTAACTCATGATACGTCTCAAATTCTGTACAAAATCGAAAGATATAAGTGTGTGGAGAGGCCGGGGTTGGAGAAAATATGGCGTGCGGCGCAGATGAAAGCAAAGAGGCAGATAAAATTCCACTTTGGTAGCAAGCGATTCGGTCGAGACCTCAGCAATTATACTACCGGTATTTTCGAAGGCAATGGACGCTCGTTTTGCTAATGCGCTAACGGTGTACTGGGAAGAGTTTTACTATCTTGCATCAGAACAGCATAGATACGACGCAATTTCATACTAGCGCTATGCAGCTGGCTCGGATCACTAGGCACCACAATGGCAATTGATGTAGCTTTATCGACTTCTCTTAGGTATTGTGCTCTCTAACCCCTAAACATTGGTACTGGTGATATTCTACTACCATGGGTGAGAAGCTTCCTCCTACACCGGCGTTTAGAAGTAAGGGTGCGTGAATCACTGTCAGATCCCATACCGGGTGAACAAGGAGCATGACAAGAACCAGTACTGAGCCCCCAGCTGCTGTTGACCAACGTCAACGATATCACACGCCCCAGAAGCTTGAACTGCCTGATCAATACCAAAAACACTAATATGTAGAGGGTGATCAATAAACCAGATGACATCACACAGCTGCAAGCAGAACTGGATAAGATGTACACATGGTCAATCCAGAATCTACTTCGGTTTAATGTGGACAAATGCAGAACGTTGCACTTACGACACCAGCTGGCGGGTTTCTACAAATTCGCCAACCAGGACCTGCACGTGTCTTCTGGCGAAAAGGATCCGGGCGTTTTGATCCAGGCCGACCTTGGTTTTTCGAACCGGAATGAAAAGGCTTCAAGTATATAGACACTGCACATGGGTCTTCTGCGGCGTGCATTCGGACGATTCGACCCTTTAAGTTTTCAACAGCATCTGGGTACATAGACACATATAGCACAAGCATATAGCATAAGCAACACCATTCAGATTGCCATTGCTGAGGAGAAATCTCACCGCCGACCCGTAGAATTAACGATCCCAAGCATGCGCTGTAATCCGAGAACGCGGGTTCGATCCTGCGTGGGGACCGGGCGACCTTCGTAGTATCCCTAGCCCGCATGCGACTGGGGGCGATTGCGCGGCAGCGTAGTGTCCGCACTGCATACCGGCGTACTAATGATGCCTGCGTTTCATCAACTTGGAGGTACCCTAAAGCCGCGCAACCAATTATGCCAAAGGTTTGCATACTTTGCCATATCAACGAAGGTTTCCAGTGCTCGGGTTCTTTAGCGGCAATACCAGCGATTACATGAGAACCTCATTTTGGCGTACCAGTTTGATAGATCTCAACCATACATGCCGCCATTTGCTATAGGTCAGTCAGAACAGTAATCTGCGAGACAAAAATTTCAAGTTGGCAGAGCGGTACATTCGTTTGGAATGCTGTCGGAATTTTTTGTCCTTACGCGTTTTCCAAGTGTGGAATGTCCTAACGGAATCTATCAGCTGTGCTCCCACGCTGGTAGTGTTCAACTCTCCAGTTGCCAGTGTATCCATTTCGCTGCACCATATCACATGACTCATTGTCCATGGCTAAACGAATCTCGCAGAAGAGTTTCCACCTTTTTCACATCATGTTTGTGTTCACCAGGAGGCGGCATGATATTTACCAACGTCCAATTTTGGATATTTCTTACGAAGTTACAGAGGATTTACAATTTTTGTACGTACACCGCGATAAGTCTAGCGGTGTTGACGTACACTTGCTGAAAATTTTTCTATGTTTTGAATGTTCGTTATGACCGTCCTAGCGATCTGTTAATAGTAGGCCTTTATCCGTACAAACCATTCTTATTGTTCCAGCAATCATCTATATTCATGTTCTGATGAACGATTTGCGCTTATTTTCAGCAAAACCTGTTGGAAGCAGGCGCTTCTGTCGGGGACCAAATGTAAATTTGTATAACAAAACGCTGCATGTTTTCCTGGTTTACTTTGCAGAAAAAAGCGTGGTTACCGACCTTGCCTTCTAACTCAGCGCGTCGTGCTGCTGTTCAAGCTAACCCTTACTGACTGATCATTTCTAGCCAGAAACATTTGGTAAACTTAGCCTATGGCACAATATTGTACGCCCCTTTCCGAACAGACACTGTATTCTATTTTTGGCCACTGCTTTCGGGGGTTAAATAGTGGCATGTATAATGAGTGAGTACACGTCTTTTACTAACGCAATATAACGAAGATATGTGGAGTTATTCCCCTAAGTTTAAAGTGATTGGGTCAAGTCGGTTGCCTTTTTACATAGAGCAACGGCTAAACCGAATTATGTCACTACCGATTTCACTATCAATTTTCTAACTATTTGTGACTGAACTTGTAGATATAATGCTTCATTTGTTCGGCATTTTCCGTTAGGCAAATATGGATAATTGATGCTCTTCAGTGAGGTTTAGAACTTGGGAACTTCTCATAACCCAGCCGAGGATGGTCAGTAGTTTCAACGTTATATACTACATAGGAGATACTACGAATCGCAGTATTCTTCAACAACCCGATAAAAGCGCGATAGTCGGTGGCCTGAATGCAGGAAGTGTTAAAATATGAATGGGATAAGAGAAGTCAACATAGAATGTCAAGAGCCAATCCTGTTACTATGCTCACGCGGGAAGTTGGATGCGGCTAACTGAACATTCCTGTACTCCAACCTTATGTTTTCCATGGGATCTTCATTGTCGTTGCAAAAACAAGCTCATTTTGAATGACGCTATCTCACTATTTTCGACTGTTCATTAATCCATTTCATCCCAAATAAAGCCACACTAGTTCAGTTTGTAGTTTAAAATGGCTACACGTATGAAGCACGATATAGTACAATTGTGGTTTCAACCACCGCTTAGATAAGCTGGGGGGCCAAACCGTAGGTGCACAACTGAGTTCTTAATCCCTCCCCTATATTACGACCTGGAAAATTAACAAGCTAATTTCTGGTTAGTACAGTGTATTTTAAAAGCAGCACAACGAAGCTCGCACACGTGCATTGTGGAGTTTGTAAAGCTTAGTCCACGAGAGATAGTGTTCTGAGTCACCGTATTTGATTGATGGTATAGATTTTGTTGTGAGTTTTCACATTTGGAAGCAATGAATTCTAACATATATTTGATGCAGTGAACTACATGCTTCTTTTCAGCCTGCTAGTATTCACGCAGTATTGCTTCATCGTATCTTTAGAAGTATAAGTGCTTGATTAGAGCACACTAGTATGCAACCGCGTGTCGGTATACAAAATCGGGTTCGTGTACTTTATTGATACCTGGTAATATTAGGGAACAATGGATTTCAATTATATGTAACCTGATTCCCACTGTGACTAGATAGAACTATCGCCCAATAGTGACGTGTCACATTGTCAGAATTATTATGCCGATAAATGGCATTGTCTCCGGCTTTGAACTCTTAACGGTTACTCGGTGTGAAGGATAGTCTCGACCAAGTGGCACGGTTTACTCAGCTGCCGTTGTGGTGGGCCAAACGCCGGTATTACTACTCTAAGTGTTAGTGGTATATAGGTACGAAAAGGTACACGGTAACGGGCCAACATCGGACTATAGCAATATCCCAACTGAAGAAGAACGCATAAATGCTACCAGGCTATGTGCACTACGAATAGATACAGAGGCAGCGCGCGTCAAGTAGCCCCAAGGAAGAGTTCGAAGTTATCTGGAACGGTTAGTGGTCGAAGCGTTTGCATAAAAGTTGATGACGTCTAACACAGTAAACAACTCTGTTCTCACATCGGGTTCTTGCGTAGTGAATATGAAAGAAAAGAGGTCTGTTGCTGCTGTTCATTCATTTCGCCAAACTACTTCATTAAAACCGTTGCAGTGTGGTATGCAAAACTTGTAGCTGCGGTGATTTCGGATTACACTAACAGCTTTACCTTCGATACCGTTGATGTTAAGTTCGGTAGGATCCAAATGTACCATTACATATCCGTGACCGCTTGTTTCAGCGCGTTGACTGATGAGGCTAATGACATTCTGTATATTGTGGCATTAGTATAGGCGCCTTGTTCAGCTTCAGTTGTAGTACTGCACTGCGTCTTTCGTCAGGCATTCCAGCACCTTTCGGCAAGTCTACTGTGTATGCTGGATTCGGTAACGAGCGTATGATTAAGCTATGCGGATGTACAAAAATGTATAATAAATATATCAAACTCAACAACAGCAGGAAGCGAGTTTGAAGTACCGAGCTTTTTCGGAGCTCGATACCAAAGATTGCCCCTGGGATTTCCTTCGTCGATTTTGTCTTATACATATGTGTGAGCGTATAATAGCTAGTCAACCAACACAATCGGCTTCGTTTTTGAGCATGGTGTTCCGCTTTCTCATTCGTCACTCTCGGCATTGATGGGACTCCTTGGCAGCAGTGCCTCAACTACCATCATTGGTTTTAGCCGGTAGGGTTAAAAGGATGTAACTAGGCCTCAGTAAAGTGTTAATCAATTCTACTAATTGTTTTAAAACACATACTCATCTGTTTCGTTTGCTATGGAATGTATGGTGAAGGAGAAAACTCACCTTCCTGAAGTGAAAAGAACAATGACGACCGGATCCCTCACATGTGCGAAAAAATGTTCCGTTGTTGTTCCCAGTCTATCTTGACATAGAACAATCCCAGGGTCTGTGAACGTAGGTGAAGTGTTCATTAGGCTTTCGTAGATTCGTACCGGAATTCGATTAATGACATAGTTCATGGAGTCTAGTTTATCATTTAAGTAAGAAGTAAAATGGTCGGTTTGTTCCGCTAAATGGCTTCGGAGTAATATATCGTAATAGTCCTTGGAGCAGATCATCATCATGGGAGATATGAGTTCGAGGATTTGCACGACGCGCCCGACTGAAAGTTGGCGATCCAGTGGAAGATAAGCCAAATGCAGTTTCATGCAGGCAATCTGAAAGTCACAGTGTTACTTGGTATTAGGAGGCGCTCAACTTAGGGATCATGTGCATCAGCTTCGCTAAACAGCGCAGTCATTAGTTCAACGTTTTACCAAATACGTAGGCTTTGTTGTTTATTGACTACCTCGTAAATGTGAAAAGTACTCAGGAATTCAAACCACTTGTACCGCCATTCTTTAACTCTCGCTATTTCATTAACCTTATGGAGCACCAAATAGGACTAGCCAGGCGAAACAACCACTTGGAATATCGTCGGATTACTTACTCACACTTTGAAAGTGCCAACCACAAAGATTTCTTTCCAGAGTAATTAATTCCTTTCCGCTATACCACTATTGAATAAGTAAGTGTGTTGCACAATGACCAGTGGTCATGATGCACCCACACGCACTTAACTGAGTCAAACAGAACTATTCAACATATTAGAATATATTTTCAACCGAGCGGGAAGTCATAATTTCAGAGGGCTTGGTGGACGACCAGTCAACATATCTTTTAACTGCGCAATGCTTCGCAACTCACACAAAAGCTCCTTCAATCGAAGAACTAGTTGTATCACTTAGCTGCACATTTTATCCTCTTTCATTGGGTGCGGAATGTAGTTTATTCAAATGGTTATTAGTTCGTTGGAACAGCATGTCTGTAGCATGGGAATAAAGGTGTGGGATGCTACCATTTCTGATTGCCATAACCATTTGTCTTTTAGCTAAAGCAATATACTATGCTACGCCTCTTAATAAAGCAAAGTCGGCAAGTTAAGTGGAGCGCAAAAGTATAAACAGGCATGCCTAGTTTTCGAACTTAAAAGTTTCCAGGCTTGAATTTGATTTATTTTGTGCCGGTTGATAACATAAACTAAAAGGACTCGGAAAAGGTGTAACAGAAAAGTTTCTAAATATATTCATTGCCATTAATACATGTTAGTAACGAGTGAGAAAAGCACCCCAACTTAGATGTAGCAATAACAAGAAATGCTGCTAGACATTTCAGAAAACGAACATTAGAATTTCAAGCGATGCAACGCTATTATATTAGGTACGAAGTGTGAGATCGTGATTGAATACAGCAGCAAGGCGAGATGAGGAGGGATAAAGAAACTCACAACACGAACGCCATTGCGATCGGCTCTTCGCTATGTCAATTAGTGTATCCAACCAAACGTATTCATCGTCCCTTGGACCCCAGCCGGGCACTGGGGAGATACCGGCTGATGTCAATTTCGAAGTGATGGTTTTCACTCCTCTCGACTAAGTCATCGCATGGACTCTCCTCCTCTCCCTCCTTCTTCTCCTCATCTATCCGCAACCCTGGCGCGCAAACAACGTACTTCGCAGAAGTCGGTATGCTGACATGCGCAACATGCGACCCAGCCATCAGAGCTTGGTGCGTCATCTAACGGTGCTGAGAGGTTCACTCGTTATGCCTGCACGAAAAACGCGACACCCTCAGAACTGAGTAAAACTACGGAGGCAGGAATGGTCACACGTAAGTAGCCTCTTTATATTGGTTGAGCTAATAAATCAGGATTTGCAACCGTGCAGAGGGTTGATCAGACGACTAGGTTGTAGACTCTGCACTTCAGGGCGGATGATGTAGCACCGGCGCCACAGAGGTTGGAGATTAGCAAAAGCACCTCGAACTTTTGCTTTATGAATTGCGATCTCGTCTTCAATTTCGCCGGCGCTAATGTTGCCTACACATTACTTGGATTGATAGACGAGTTTTAGCTGATTACCACCAACGGTCAATGCAGCGGTGAGTCGCTACCAATGTTGAAAGAGCGCTTTGCATAATGCAAAGATTAGCCCAAATCAACTGCCAGCAAGTGCTACTTCGTCCAGTGCTACTTTGCAGTTTGTGAGCTGTCACAGATTGGGGCAATGTCGTTGCACACTCCAAGTCAAGAAGTCGATCATCCGGGAGAAGCTTCATCTCTTGAATGTCATGTCCGTTGAACTCAGTTTCCATAACTTGGCGTTTGTGCAATTTATAAAGAGTGGTGACGCCGGGAAGCGTTGTCTCAAGCATTAGAGATATTAAAAAATGGCAAGGGATTGCCATATGCCCTCATTCTGCCCGATCTTTGCGAGCACAGCGCCCGGATAATGTTTACGTGCTTATCGAGCACATCTTTCCTCACCTGATATTCCCATATCCGTCCACCGAATCAAAGGAACCTTTGATATCCATGGACACAACCATGTTGGGTCACTAATGAATCTGGCGGTGTTAGAACGACTGACGCAACACGAAGTTATGGTCAATGCAGCTATCATTTCAACCAAGCCTGGTTTGCTCCGCGCGAACCTGGCTTTCACCGGTTATCAGCCATTATGTGGAGATCGACAGTGGCAAGAAACTTAGAAGTAATTGAGAACAGATAGCTTCCTCTATGATTCCCCTATTCCGAATCTGGGCACCTCTTGAAAATTAAGACTATAACGGAGTGGCTGCAGTCTGCTCGGATAGACTCTTGCTCCCACAGCATCACAAGTGAGTTAGGTAAATAACCTAAGAAAGTTACACCTTCCCCCGAAGTGGAAGAGCGTTGAAAGAAGTTACTTTGATCCTATCACCTAATTTGATTTCAACAGTAAGATATAATGTTCAATATCTGCTCCTGACCATGGATCCAAAGGGATGGCCCAGGGGGATGGGTGACAAATGACCGATAAGGCAAATTGTAACTCTGGCTGAGTAAATTGCTTTTTGTAGTGTTCGACACAACGCTGTGGGTTGGCTGTCCACTCTTGGCGGAGATAGTTTCGCTGACACCAGGTCTTCTGTTACGAGTTTCATCTATCAGGTTGCATAATTTCAGATGGTTACCAACGGCAGCAGCCCTTCCACTCTCAGATGAAGGTTGAGAACAACAGACTTCGTCGCCTCTGTTTAGGCTTGTACCCGGTTTCTTTTTGAGGTCTTTGCGAGTCTTATCGCACCTGTTTCCAGCAGGAATGTGTCGACGAACATCTAAAAAATATTCAGAGTCTGCGTGTGGACTCAGTGTCCATACTAACAAATTTACTTGTCACATGAGGACATGCCTGCAGCTGATAACGTCTGGCGGCCATGGGAACATCGAATCTTGGCATAGTCCAGCAAGCACTCACTCAACCCGCACGTAAGCGCACTTTGACATGTACTCAGAACTCACGGTTTCCCAGTTGGCTGGGGCCTCTGCCTACGCAGCGCCTTCACGAGCATCCGCCGAAACGCATCCGCAGATCGGCACATACCAGTGCGTGGTCGCAGTCCACGCTGGTTCGTAAAATAGAGCGACACAGACTCTCCAACTGTAGTTGCGCTCGATGTGATCAACTAGTGTCCATGACTAGTCCGAGACTGGTGGACGCCAAGTTACTCTTCAGTGCGTGCTGTATGGAAAATTAGTGTCAAAGTGACCCTCCGAGAATCAAAGCGAAGAGTGGGCTGCGATCCAAATTTGTTGGTACAGAACACAGTGAAATTTTATGCTGGACATCACATCGCATTTACAATGGTTGATTCTTTCTGGGCACCCGTCTGCGTTTATTGGCTGGTGCTCATGGTTCGTTCGCAATTGTTTGGACCAATCCTAGATTGACTGGAACAAAATCGCGCTTTGTTCACAATACCCCAACTCCATTATTGTCGGTTTATTCGGTCCTTGCAAATGCTAGCAGCTAGTTGTGTCCGCGACGCTAAATGGCTTTTCACCAGCTGGCTCTGGTCTTATCACTCGCTGTCATCGTGCAATGCGCCACCCGCTCTAAATCAACTTCAGTTGCGTGCTTTTGACGGGGACCAAGAGCGCGCTTGACCCACAACCCTGCAATTCAATTTCCGTACGGTCACTCGGCCCGTGTATACGTGGTGTTGACTGGCTTTCTCGTCCACTGGCAGCGCGTTCGTCTCATTTGCAAGAACTATTGGATCAGCTTTACACAGACTAGGTAACCACACACGGTTATTATTAGGAGAGTATACATTATGTTGGCCGTCCACATGCAGCTCATCAGTGGACAGTCTTCCAACATTAGCGTTTAGATCATCAGCATGCACGACAATATCCTCAATGATTCTGCAAGCAGGATAATGTTACGCTGACACAAGCGGTTCCTTTTCAGTCGTTCCCTAGAGTAAGGCCTCACCTGTACGCAAGGTCACACAAATCGAGCAACCTTTATTTCAACCAAGAGATATAATATCAACACACATGTACATGTATATGTTCCTCATGCCTAGATTGATGTTGCATGCATCATTCTTCTTCACCGCAATTAGGCTACACCGATTTACACTACAACTAGATCTACTTAATCCGGATAATATGTCTTTCACTTTATTTGCTTTGCTCCGTTCTATTATTCTGCTGCACGTTCCGCGCGTTTATTTTCCGGTAAAATTTGTGCTTTTGTTTGATATCCCCGGTGTGGCAACTTGACAAGGTGACCACTCGTATATTACCCACCACCTCGATCATACTGGCTCCAGCAGACTGAATCGTTGCTGGTCATCTTAACCGCGCTAGACTCAAAGAGTGGTTCCATGAATCTGATATGGAACCGGCTACAGCCGGCCACAGCCTTCTGTAAGTCTGGTACGCGTGATCTCTTAATTGTATGTATATATGTAATCTCAACAGCCTAGAAACTAGACATAGAACCAACGAAGCCTTGGTGATTGGCAGATAAGGGGAAGTCACTGCGTCATAATCATCGTGGCATGGTAGTTGAAGGTGAGCAACACACTTCAGCTAATATGCCGCAGGAATAATGGAACATTTTGACAAAAGTAAAACCAAACATTTTTAGTTTGTTGTTCACACGCCGATTTTGCTCCTTTTTTGTCATTTTCAATGTCTGTAGTGTTAAACATGCGAATCAATACAATACTGTACAAAATGCTTCCACTGATTCCGGTTGCGGGCCATGTCTTCAAGAGCTCTAAACCATTGGCACTCCTCATCCTTGGGTCCTCTTAATTAGATAGACAGGAATGCTGCTACCGT